TGCAAACTCATTTATTTTGTACTCCCTAAAGGAATTTACATTCAGCAGTGGCTTTGTAAATAATTCTTGAGGCCACAGTTCTGAATTGTATTGTCTTCCAGCAGCCACCCCTGAGGTATGTCCTTCTGGCCTTCTGTGTTGCTGTTATTCAGGAAGCATGTCATGGCCCTCAGTTGCCAGAATCTCTGTGTGCAAGCTTTTCTTCCTTTCTTTAGTCTTCCTTACTTGGCATGAAAAAAATCAAGTCATAAAGCATTCCTTCTAATCTTCCTAGAACACATCATTTGAGCAATATTATTTTAATAGGACTTTTTCCTTAGGTCAGCTAAAGACACACGACCACAAAAAATTACGTTCCTAGACAATTTGAAGGGTAGGGAATGTCAGGGTTTATTGGGTATAAAGGAAAACACTCAGCAAAGCAAGAGAAGTTCCTGTTAACAGGCCCCCGTCTCACAGATTGAATCCCCAGATTACCATACCAGATCATGAGAAGCCCAGTTCCATTTCTTGCAAACAGCACAGACTTCCCGAGGCTCCACCCATTTTCCCAGTGAGCAGGCTGGTCGGAGTTTCTCTGGGGACCCCTTGGCTGTCTCATTATAGAGTTCCTGATGGTGTGTCTATTACTTTCCTCATTAATTCAACCTTAGTAACTATTGAAATTCTTTTTACATATCTAAAGTTAATATAGTATCTTGATTTATCTTGGTGGTTCCTTTTCCTCTCCCTTGCCTCTAGATTTTGGAGTGCCCCAAGAATCAGTGCTTGGACTGCTCCACTTTTCTGTCCCATTCTCTAGGACAGGAATCTCATCCAGACCCATAGTATTATGGGTGATGATGGCTTCCATACCCATCTGTGGTCAAGATCTGTCCCTTGACCTCTAGACTTACATATCCAACTGCTTACTTGACATGTGTAATAGGCATCCTTAACTTGGTATGTGTCTAACTGCGCTTGTGATCGTCCTCCACAAACCAACTTTTCCTGCAGCCTGCTCTCTCAGTTAATGCCAGCTCTATTCTTAGCTGCTTGGGCCAAAAACCTTGGTACCACTTGTTGATTCCTCTCTCTGTTCAATACCCAACATCTGGTCTATTAGCAAATGTTGTTAGTTCTGTCTCCAAAAAATATCCCAGATTTGATCACTTATCACCATCCCCTCTGCCACTATCCTGGTCCAAATTATCATTCTTGCCCGTTTTGTTGAAATAACTTCCTAATTGGTCTCCCAGCTGCTTCCTTTGCTTCGCTGCAGTCTGTTTGTAGCATAGCAGCCAGAGTTACCCTTTTAACAGTTTCCTTGGTTCTTGTAATTTTTCTGTTGAAAATTCTCAAGCAGCTTCCTGTCTCACTCAGAAGAACTCAAGGCCTACAAGTAGCTGCATGATTTGGTCTTGCATTACCTCTCTGCTCTCATGCTCTACCATCTTTTCATTGCTCATGCATTCTGGCTACATAGCCTCTTTCCTGCTTTTGAACATGCCCTTCCTTCCACCTCAGGGCCTTTATACTTGCTGTTTGTCTGCCTAGAACATACTTCCTCTCAGTATTGGTAAAGCTAGCTCTCTTACTTCCTTCAGGTTTTTACTCAATGAAGCCTTCCCTGGCCAACTTGTATATCTTATTTTTCTGTCTCCTGCATTGGAGTGTAAGATAAAAGTTGGGATTTTTATCTTGTTTTGTGTATTACAGAATCGTTAGGACCTACACGTAGTAGGTGCTTGCAGATTTTAAAATGGATAAATGATTCTGATTCTCATAATACCTTTTTATTTATTTATTTATTTTTGAGACGGGTCTTGCTCTGTCACCCAGCCTGGAATGCAGTGGCCTGATCTCAGCTTACTACAGCTTCACCTCCCAAGTTCAAGAGATTCTCCTACCTCAGCCTCCTGAGTTGCTGGGACTATAGATGCATACCACCATGCCTGGCTACTTTTTAAAGTTTTTGTTGAGATGAGGTTTCACCGAGTTTCCCAGGCTGGTCTCAAACTCCTGGTCTCAAGTGGTCTACCCATCTTGGCCTCCCAGAGTGCTGGGATTACAGGCATGAGCCACTGTGCCTGGCTCCCATAATTTTTAAAAATTAGCTGGGCATGGTGGCGCATGCCTGTAGTCCTACCTACTCAGAAGACTGAGGTGGAAGAATCACTTGAGTCAAGAAGTTTGAGGGTGCAGTTAGCTATGATTGTGTCATTACACTCCATCCTGTGTGGTAGAGCAAGACCCTTCAGAAAGAAAGAAAGAGCAAGAGCAGAAGGGAGGGAGGGAGGGAGGGAGACAGGCAGGCAGGAAGGAAGGAGAAAATAATCCTAAATTTCTGAAATACAGGGCAATCTTACAAATGCATGAATAATAGTACTACTTTAGGAAACTAGTATTTTCCCACAGAGACAACAAAAATTAGCTACTTTCATCAGTAAGAAACAGATTTGATTACCTAGCTTAGTATAAACCAGGAGGTAAAGTTCTCTGGGTTAAGAGCTATGGACCAGTGTTCCAGATGTCACTGAGTCATTGCATAATTTTAAGAAGAGTAACAATATGACGTGGTTTGCCAGGAGCAATCTCAGTTTAGCTCTTGTGCTAATTATTAATAGTACTTGCAAGGTTCCCAATCTGGATGATAGAATAAGGTCATCCTAAAATTAAGGTTATTGCTTTTGGCTAGTGATTGTAGTGTACATTAAAATTCATGCATGATAAGAAATCTGTAAATGCTATTTGACGTTTATTGAGCATATTTTAGAACTTGACTTTGTTCAGTTTAGAGCTATCAGAGTCTCAAACATTTTCAGTCAATCTTGAGTAGTAAATATAGTTGAAGGGTGTATGCTGAATGACTTTTTTTTTTGAGACAGTCTTGCTCTGTTGCCAGGTTGGAGTGCAGTGGCGCAATCTCGGCTCACTGCAACCTCCACTTCCCAGGTTCAAGCAATTCTCCTGCCTCAGCCTCCCAAGTAGCTGCGGTTACAGGTGTGCGTCACCATGCCCAGCTAATTTTGTAATTTTAGTAGAGACGGGGTTTCACCATGTTGGCCAGGATGGTCTGTATCTCCCGACCTCAAGGTCTCAGACTTCATTGAGAGTCTGATGAAAGTTCTGAATCCACTGCCCAGAAAAACACATATTCAAAATTTTTACAAATAATTTCAAGAAATTAATGACTTCCCATACCCTTTCTAGAACCACTATTCTGATAAACATTCTCCCTGCTTTGAGAGAATGCCTTTCTGATTACCTGGTATGTTAATGAAACCTTTTAGAAAAAAACATAGTTTTCCCTACGCCAATGTAAGCACATGTAGAAATGTTTATACAAATGGTATTTTACTGTGTGTGTATTTTGACAACTTACTGTTCCATGGTATTATATACAGATGCACTTCATTGTTTTCAACTTAATTCCTATATTTTGCAGTTTAAAAAAAAAAAAAAAAAACAATGTATCAGGAAGTTGCCTCTACGAAACCTGAAGCAAAAAAATGCTTTAGATACCTTTTTTTATTTATTTATTTTTAATAGAGATGGGGTTTCACTGTGTTAGCCAGGATGTTCTTGATCTCCTGACCTCATGATCTGCCTGCCTTGGCCTCCCAAAGTGTTGGGATTACAGGTGTGAGCCACTGCACGCAACCCAAAAAAATGCTTTAGATAGCCTAACAACCAAAGATCATAGGGTGCATGTCTTACCATTTATAGTATAAAACTGAATTTCCACATTAGCAAAATTTGAAAACTGAAAATTAACTCATGATCAGCTTGCCAAAATCTGACCAGAAGGAAATTTTTGAAGATAACTCATCACAAAAACACATGTACTCTACACAGAAATTTTTCTTAATAAAGAAAAAAAGGAAGTACAGAGAAGCAAAAAGAAAAATTCTCCATAGTGAAATCACTCAAACTATCACTGCCAACAATGCATTTCATTTCTCTTTATCTATATGTAAGTTTTGTTAGTTTGCTTATTTTTACATGGTTATGATACTGTATATATAAATTTGCCTCCTGTATTCTTCCTTAATATTTCAGTTACTTTTTCTATATTCCTTTGATATAGAGTGGTAGAAGAAGAATTACTAGGTCGGAAGTTATGAATATTTTTTGATACATCTTATCATACTGCTTTTCAAAAGTATTGTACCAATTTATACTTTTAAGCAGTCAGGTCTGATACTGCTAATTTCACCACACCTGTGCTTGGATTGGGCATTATGATTTTAACATGTTTGTGATCTCAAAAACAAGTGAAAGGTTCCTCACTGTTCTGATTTGCAATTCTTCCATTTTTCCATGATATTACACATTTTTCCACAAACACATTACTAGTTACATCTTACTTTATATTAAAACATGATTTTACATGTTGAAAGACCTCCAGTTAGAGAAAAATAGCCCCTTGTAAATAAACCTTTAACAGAACATGTTCATGATGTGGTGTTTCTTTTTTCTTTTTTCTTTTTTTTTTTTTTTTAAATGTTTTAGAAGCCTAAATCTCACTAGATGTGATATTTCTTTACTACAAAGACAAACAACCATTAGTTTTTAATTCAAAGTCAGTAATCTAGGTTATCATGTTGAAATCATCCTCAAGATGTGAAAGAAAACTATTTTAAATGCTTAGTTTGTGGTGATGTGCCTATTGTCCCAGCTTCTAGGCAGGGTAAGGTAAGGAGGATCCCTTGTGCTAGGAGCTTGAGGCTGTAGTACACTGTTACTGAGCTTAGGAATAACCTCTGCACTTCAGCCTGGGCAATAAAGTGAGACCCAGTCTCTAGGGGAAAAAAAAAAATGATTACAAAAAGAAAAGAAAACAAATTTTCACAGTGGGAGAATGTGGCTTATTATTAAGAAATGCTTGATACATAGTTTCATTGATTTTTTAAAAAGTAGTTCCAATAGCAAAATAATCATGGAAATTTAAGATTTTATCAGGAATAATTAATTTTTATTAAAGTAATCTTATTCCAAGTTATTTTCTTCTTTTCAAGGTATCACAGATGTCGTAAGAATCCAAATCCTCCAAAAGACAGATGATGCTGAGGTTCCTGGGAGAATCAAAGAGAAATGTGCCTCATTTGCAATTTGAAAAAATGCCATCTGGTGTATTCACTAATATGTAGTAAAGTAATAATGATAAAATACCTTTTCATATATTAGAATGTATACTTTTATATATGTCAAATAATTCTGGATTTGACATTCTCATTTAGAGAAACGTATCACATTTTCTTTTTCTTTTTCAATTTTAGTCTTTCATTTATGTATGGTCTCCAATTTAGGACTTTTCCATAGTGCCAAAGCCATGCATATTCAGTAGAACATCAATAGGTTATATCAGAACACTTTATTATAAAATAGGCTTTGTGTTAGTTGATTTTGCTCAACTGTAGGGTAATGTAAGTGTTCTGAGCATATTTAAGGTAGGCTAGCATTTTGAATTTATGATATTTTTAATTTACAGTGGGTTTATTGGGATGTAATTCTACCATAAGTTGAGAAACATCTGTTTTTGTGTGTCTAGTATGATTTAAGTATTTTTGCATCATTAGCCAAACATTGTTAGTAGTATAAATCTGATTAATAAAAAGGTACATGGCTTTCCTGAGGGAGATTTTTAAATTGGCTTTGAGAATAAACTCGTAAGGTCTACCAAGAAAATAAATGTTATAATGTTTCAGTTGGCTTCTAGGAAATAATTAAATTACTGATATTTTGATCAGGTTTTACTGGCTACTAGGCCCCTTCCATCCATTCTTGTTAAATTCTCAAAATAATCCTTTGAAGAAGGGACGTAATTGCATTTTACAGTGACTCGAACCCTACCAAACAAGTGAGAGAGCCAGGAGCCAAATTGTCAGGCTTCAAAGCTTTTTTTCAGTGCATCACAATGACAAAGGGGTGGTTTTCTTTCACCCAAGAATGTGCTTTCCTAGAGATTTTTCTAGAGAGAGTATTATGTAATTGGTTTTGAGGGTTTTTTTCCTGGCTGTCTTAAAGATTATGCTAGCTTCAGAACACATGCAAACAGCTGCAGCTCTGTGTTAAAATGTTAGTGCCACTAGACTAATGTTATCAGAATGTTAATAGATAACTCTGCTGCCACTACTAGTTACATATGATCCTTAATAGCATTGCTTCCCCTTCACCTCTATTAAGGAGGTGAAGAATCTTTTAATAAGGTAGAAAGTTGCTTTATTTAAACTTATGCTGTAAAATGTTTGTGATACAGTAAAATTGATGTGAAAAATAATTTCTCATTCAAAGTCCGTTGTTTGATCTAGTTCTTTTAGTAAAGGAACTATAGTTGAAGTTTTAAGTAGCCAGTGAAGTAGGAGAGAGTAAAGGAAATAATTAATAATGGTGACCTTCTGTTACCCAAAAGAAATACTTTTAAGTGGCTTACTTTTTCCATTAATATAAATTTCATTTGGAAAGATTAAAAAAATAAGTTTGATTGAATTTAATAAATCAGAAATATTTACAAGCTTTGTCAATGATGTATTCTTGAAAAATGTTTGGTTTTCTTTCAGGTTGACTTATATCCAAAATTCTACAAATTTTTAGCTATGTTATAAATGTAGAAAGAACTAAAAAACAAATCAAAATATAATGATGAAGATTTTTCTTCCAAATACCAAGCTTTACTAAATAGGGATTGTCCTCAGACACCCAAACTCACATAATTATGTGTCAGTGCTTTGGCACATTAACTTTGACTTTACTGTACTGGTAGTATAGATGTACACTGTACTTCCTGAGATTCTGCTTTTCATGGGTTGCTGATTTTTAATTTTGCTAAGTAAGCACATATTTCATCACCAGCATCACCTGCTCTCTGCTCCCCCAGCCACTCTTCCCCGCCCCCAGGGATAAGAACCTGTTATCCACCATCACTAACATTTTATGAAAGATCTATTTATTTGTCTGTTTTACAGACATTTTAAAATTCATAAAGAGGAATGCTTCTTTAAATTAAATACAGTTAGCTTCATGAAAAACTCACTACACAGTTCTTGTTCAATCATTATTGGTGAATCCACCAGAGGGCACTCTCACTCAGGGTTTAGTTTGAATATCTCACCCAAAGGTGACTTTTAAAAGCACTTAATTAGCTGAGAATTTGGATGTTCCTTAGCAGAGAATGACTAACAGAATAAATGGTAATAGTGAAATTAAGTGCTGGAATATTCTGAGTAGGCCAATAACAAAAATCAATCCTTTTTTTTTTTTTTTTTTTTTTTTTAGGACAAGTTCTCGCTCTGTCACCCAGGATGGATTGCAGTGGCATAATTACAGCACACTGCAACCTCAATATCCTGGGCTCAAGCAGTCCTGTCACCGCAGCCTCTTGAATTACTGGGACTACACACCTGTGCCACCACGCCTGGCTAATTGTTTTCATCTTTTTATAGAGATAGGGTGTTGCCATGTTGCCAAGGCTAGTCTTGAACTTGTGGGCTCAAAGCAATCCACCCTCCTCAGCCTCCCAAAATGTGGGATTACAGGTGTGAGCCACCGTGTCCAGCCTTATTTTTTTTAAAGATAATATTGTTAACGTTGTATACCTTCTTCCTTTGTGTTTCTCTGCATAAATATATTTCAAAAATAAAAATGAGGGCTCATAACCTTTTCCCTTTTTTTTTTTTTTTTTTTTTTAAATAGAGATGGGGTTTCCCGTGTTGGTCAGGCTGGTCTCAAACTCCTGACCTCGTGATCCACCTGCCTCAGCATCCCAAAGTGCTGGAATTACAGATGTGAGCTACCGTGCCCAGCCAACGTATGCCGTTTTATAATGCTTTTTTCACTTAATAGGAATTTTTTCCATGTCATTAAATACTCTGATTTAATGGGTGCATATTATTCTGTAATCTGGATTGTCATAATTTAATTTACTCCCTGCTGTTAGACATACTCTTTGTTTCTGTTTGTTTCATCTTGTAAATAATGTTGTTATTAACATCCTGGTGGATTATTATCATTTTCTTTTTTTTTTATTTTTTAAATTTATTTTTTATTTTCTTATAATCTCATTAGAAGCTGGCAAGGTCACTACTGTTATCTTAGATTTGTTTCTGTAAGTGTAAACATGGAATCAGAAGGCATCCATTTTTAAAGTCAGTGGTTTAAACTGCATACTTTTTTTTTTTTTTTTTTTTTTTTCGGAGACGGAGTTTTGCTCTGCCCAGGTGCCCAGGTTGGAGTGCAGTGGCGCAATCTCGGCTCACTGAAACCTCCACCTTCTGGGTTCAAGCAGTTATCCTGCCGCAGATTCCCAAGTAGCTAGGATTACAGGTGTGCAGTACCATGCTTGGCTAATTTTGTATTTTTAGTAGAGATGGGTTTTCACCATGTTGGTCAGGCTGGTCTCGAACTTCTGACCTCAAGTGATTCACCCGCCTTGGCCTCTCAAAGTGTTGGGATTACAGGCGTGAGCCACCGCGCCTGGCCTAAACTGCATACTTCTGACAGCAGTATATGGAAATAGATTATTTTACTTCTATTAGAATTTTTAAAAATCTTTATCAATTTGGTAGGCAGGGAATGGAAAATATTTTAATTTGATCAGCCACTTTAAATTTAGTATACGTCTCATTTCAAAGCATATAAAGTATACAAGTTTCAAGTCTGAGCTTAAACCTGTGAGAGCCCTTATTATTGCCGTATTTCCTTTGCAGCACTTTACCATGCTGTGTTTCCTTTACCTTCCCTGCACAACATTCTTTATATGGACCCTAAAATGTAACTTCTTTTTTTTTTTTTTTTTTTTTTTTTAAAGATGGGGTTTCTCCATGATGGCCAGGCTGGTCTTGAACTCCTGACCTCAGGTGTGATCCACCCACCTCGGCCTCCCAAAGTGCTAGGATTGCAGGCGTGAGCCACCGCGCCTGGCCAAATGTAACTTCTTTAGAGGAACTGGATTAGATTCCATTGTTACCTGCAATACTTCATAGCACTTATCAAAGTTTGTAATTAGGCATCTTTTTGTGTGATTATTTGATAAATCTCCATCTCCCCTACTAGACTTTAAGCTCCATGACTTCTAGGGACCCTGTCTGACTAGGTGTATCGCTGTTCCTACTGCCTAACATTGCCTAACACATTCATTGCTTCACAGGCATCTGAGTATGGTTTTGTAAAAGAAATTGCTCTAGTGCACAGGATTTTGAGCTAAGGATTTCATGAATGGGATTTGGGGTGGGGATATCTAGGAAATTCCTGAAATTATATAGAATTTTGAGAATGTGTGTTTTTGTGTTTTCCTGGGGATAGAGTATGTAGTTTCTCAGCAACTCATTAACATCTGTGTCACATCATGCCCTAATTCTACTTGCCTCTAGCTAAACACCTAATAAGATTAGAACTGGAATGATAGTGATATGCAAAATACCATTTGTGGTTTCCACATATTCTAAGAAGCATCTTTAATTAGATTCCAAAAATGTTCAAGAAGAAAAAAAAGATATTATGTGCCCTCATTTTGAATGGCTTTGGGTACTTCAGGTAAACCCTTACTCAAAGAGTACTTTTTAAGTTTCTGTGTATGTTTTTAAAATTTCCAGAAGATAAGTCAAGTTGAATATCAGCCCACAAACACTGGTAGTAAGCAAACTATTTTATTTGCTAAAGGCATAAATAAATGTCTCCATTGCTTTTAAGCAAAGGGAATGCTTCCTCAGATTTTTTTTTTCCCAGAAGTTCAAAATAACTTGCTCATAGTCTTCCCAAAATAATTTTCAAGCATTTTAGCACCAAAGAAAGATCTTCCCAATTGAGCTCAGCCATCAGCCTCCTGTTTTTTAATGTGCTGTTTAACCTTCTGAATGTGAGAGTACTTTGAATGCACTGGGAAGAAATGCTCAGGAACAATATGTAATGTGCTTTCTAGTTTTGCACAAAGGCATTCATTTTGATTTAGTAACAACCTCATACTTAAATAGCATCCTCCTGCAGAAATGCTTCACAATCATGACTGCCTAAATTCCTGCCATGTTGCTTGTAAATGAGCTCTTGTTTTTAAATGGAGAAATGGAGGCAGAGTCTCACAGTTCTCATTAAATAGGAGAATAGAGGGTAGAAACCTTAGCATTACTTCTGAGTCTTTTTTTTGTTTATTTGAGACAGGGTCTCACTCTCTCACCCAGGCTGGAGTGCAATGGCTCCATCTTGGCTCACTGCAAGCTCCACCTCACAGGCTCAAGCGATTCTCCCGCCTCAGTCTCCTGAGTAGCTGGGATTACAAGCGTGCACCACCACACCCAGGTAATTTTTTATATTTTCAGTAGAGATGGTGTTTCACCGTGTTGGCCAGGCTAATCTCAAACTCCTGACCTCAGGTGATCCACCCACCATGGCCCCCCAAAGTGCTGGCATTAGAAGGGTGAGCCACCACACCCAGCCTGTTCTGAGTCCTCAATTCAGCAAGAATGTCTCTCTCTTTTTTTTTTTCTAAGAGTTTCGCTCTTGTTGCCCAGGCTGGAGTATAGTGGCGCAATCTCAGCTCACTACAACCTCAGCCTCCCGGGTTCAAGTGATTCTCCTGCCTCAGCTTCCCAAGTAGCTGGGACTACAGTAGAGATGGGGTTTCACCTTGTTGGCCAGGTAATCTGATGGTTTTAATTTGCATTTCTCTGATGATCAGTAACATTAAATTTGTATTCATATACTTGTTGGGCATGCATATCTTTGGGGAACTATCTGTTCAAATCACCTGCCTTTTTTTTTTTTTTCTTAGCACTTAAAAAAGACTTTATGCAGGCCAGGCACAGTGGCTCACGCCTGTAATCCCAGCACTTTTAGAGGCTGTGGCGGGCAGATCACAGGGTCAAGAAATAGAGATAATTCTGGCCAACATGGTGAAACCCTGTCTCTACTAAAAATACAGAATTAGCTGGGCATGGTGGTGAATGCCTGTAATCCCAGCTACTCAGGAGGCTGAGTCTGAATAATCGCTTGAACCCGGGAGGCAGAGGTTGCAGTGAGCTCAAATTGCACCACTGCACTCCGGCCTGGCGACAGAGCGAGACTGTCTCAAAAATTTAAAAAAAGACTTTATGCCAGGCACAGTGGCACGTACCTGTAGACCCAGCTACTCAGGAGGCTAAGACAGGAGGCTCACTTGAGTCCAGGATTCTGGGTTGTAGTGAGTTATGCCAATCAGGTGTTTGCACCAAGTTCAGCATAAATATGGTGACCTCCTGGGTCACTGGGACTTAGGGTTGCCTAAGGAGGGTTGAACTGGCCTAGATCAGGAATGGAGCAGATCAAAACTCCTGTGCTGTTCAGTAGTGGGACTGCACCTGTGAATAGCCACTGCACTCCAGCCTGGGCAGCATAGCAAGACGCTCATCTCTTTAAAAAACAAAAAAAAACACCTTTGGTTTTTAAAAGCAGTTTTAGGTTCACAGCAAAATTGAGAGGAAGGTACAGAAATAATTTATAGATCCTCAGTGCTCCCCTCCCCCATGCTCAGCCTCCCTCATT